ACTGTTATCTGTGGAACTAAAAGAGTTTATGTGAGGAGAAGAGTTGGTGAATGAATTAATCTTTTGTGTGTTGGTGAATGATTTAGCCCTCTCATACAGTAAAGCATGGAGGAGGCTCTCTTATGGTATGGGGTTGCATGTCGGGATCAGGTGTAGGTCATTTATATTGTTGTACGGGCACAGTAAACCAGGATAAATATTTGGAATTATTAAAAACACAAATGAAACCATCAGCAAACAAACTATTTGGTAAAAACAAACCATTTTTTTTTCAACAGGACAATGCTCCTTGCCACAATTCTAAGAAAGTAATGGAATATCTCAAACATGCTCGTACCAAATTCTATTAAATGGCCTCCACAAAGTCCTGACCTGAACCCCATTGAAAATTTGTAGGAGGAGCTCAGAAAAGTACAGAAAACTAAACCCACCAATCTGGATGATTTGTGCCAAGATTTGCAAGCTGCTTGGCTAGCAGTCCCTGTTGACACCATCCAAAAGCGTGTAATATATATATATATATATATATATATATATATATATATATATATATATATATATATATATATATATATATATATATATATATATATATATATATATATATATATATATATATATATATATATATATATATATATATATATATATATATATATATATATATATATATATATATATATATTAGGGTGCAGTGAAACTTTAGGTGAAAATATAAATAGTAAATTATTGATATGTAATAGCAACAAAAAATTGCTATTTGATATGTGTTCAAATAAAGTGAATAAAATTTCCTCAAAATTTTTATGCCTTCAGCTGCCCCAAGGGGTTCAAAGTTACTGAAAAATAGGTATTTTTCATGAAAACACCCTGTTTTAGCCATAATTTTTTAAAGTTAAAAACTGTTTTTTTCTTTATTAATACCCTAAGCCTAATTACTAACAGCATTGTTTCACCCAGTACTCTATTAAGGGGGCTAGTTTGGGGTTGGGGGGGCCAGAGGCTATAGCCCCAGGTCGCCCAAAAGAGTCAAGAGAAAATAAGCAACCGTGGCGCAGTGGTAGCGCACTTGCTTTAGAAATGTAAGATCCGTTGTTCAAACCCCACCTCTAAGCAAGTTTTGCGACATCGGTTGGGAAGGAGGCGTGAACTTCCTATTAAATGGTCTTGTGCGGTGCTCTGTGATAAGACCGAATGGATTTCTTGGGGCACCTATAATCAACTTTTGAAAAAAAAGTTTTTTTTTAGTCATCTTTACGCTCTGACACATAAAAAAGGACCCTGAAAAGTCTAAATTCGCCATTGGTTTCACCTAACCTGTTTTGGTTATCTTGGTTATTTCACCTTTATTACTGTTCAATAAATGTTTAAAATTAAATGTTTTAAACTACTTGTTAACTTTATGTTATATTGAAGTAAAATGTGTTTTATTAACCTTTTTTTAGTTATTATTTAGAAATAATTATCTAAGTGGTTCATTATATTTCTTTTAATACTTCTCAATATATTTCTTTGAATATCAAGAAATTATTACTAATGTTTGATGTTTTAGTTTAGCTTTTAATTTTATTTATGGCTTACTAGATTAATGTATAAATCAATAATTACTTATGAATCTAATACAAAGTTTGCTTATTATATAACAAGTTTTAATATGGCCATTAGGTTAGTGAGAACGAGGATGATGTTGACTTGTCCTGTCTTTGGTATACCTGAAGAAATGTCGCAAGTTGTTTTACCAACATATGAAGATGTAATGAAACATTACTTGCTTGTAAAACATCGACTGAAACCAACAGCTGCTACAATAACAGAAATCTATATATAATATATAAACGAAAGATCTTATAAAGATCTTTTAATGCGTAGTTCAATCTGTTTATGCTTATATATGCCTTCACAACTTCTTTGCATAACTATCATATAATAATAGCTTACTAAAAACTAAACTTTATACAAATTTAACCAAATCATTTTATTATTTTGTATGAAAATGTTTGCAAATGATGCTTTAACAATGTACTACAAATAATTAAATTGTTAACAATGTAATTATTAACTACAAATAACTAAATTGTTATTAACTACTTAAGTAAACCCTTATTTTAAGGAAAAATTAAATACTACATATTATATAACAGAAATCTCTGAAAAAGTTGCACAAGTTGTTGAAAAAATATGGTTAAAACCAATGATTACTCATACACGGGTATTAAAGGTGATTCACTCCTATCATGATAAATACAGAAAACTATTTCGAAACATCAAGCGCAGTAATTATGATAGCAAAGTAAATGCTTTAAAAGAAGATGCGAGACATAAATTGTTTGACATCTGCACCTGTAAGTGTGTATGTAATAAAACTGGCAAGGTTCCTCCTGCAAAGCAAGATTTTATCCAAGATCAGAGAACTCTCAAATTGATGTGGATTGGCAATGTTGATAAACTTGCATCATATAAACTGGCCATGAAGTTAAAAAAAAAAGTATTGAGCAGCGGT